TGGTTTCGACTTACTTTTTTAATTTGTTTTTACTCTTTCGTCGCATAGGCCGCACCCCGACTTTTTGATATTTTCTCTTCCAAAAATACTGCGGCCTTTACGCCGGCAAATACGGTAGTGGCTGAGCAATAAGCATAGAAAGATAAGGAAATCTAGCTGAGTAGGCCCGACACCATCCACACAGCTCAGGTCACTATGTGCAAATGGGATTTGTGGTCTTATCGAAGATGATGCCCACTATTCAAGTTTTTGTGCGTTTGTTTTCACCGGTTGAAACTTTCAGGATTAAACCTGATGAATATATTTCTTCAGCTGATAGTATACAAATCATGAATTTGTCGCTGAACGTGGTTTTTGTGTTACAAGTTGTTCGCTTCTTGACATCTCAGTATGTCGCAGACAAATATATTACGGTCATGAATTTGGTTTTGTGAAACAACCTCCAGAATCTAGCCGGTTTTAGTTTATTTTTCAATTTGTATCCTACTTGCCACTAGCCGAAGATGACTTGGAACCTACGTTAGGCATTAGGCCAAATTAAAAAAAAAACATGTTTAGCGTCCTGTTTTTTAAAAAAATGGCCGCTCGGTAAATTTTCCCTGACAGTCTGGCTATTTTTCAAGATGGCTGCCGGTAATTTTTTTGAAAATCAGAAATAGATCCATTTTAGCAGGGTTTTTTATGTTAAAAAAAAAGAAAAAAAGAAATTGAAAAAAAAAGAAAGAAAAAGGGGAAGTGGAATCACTATCCAGCCAAATTTCAAAATTTACCAAACTTTGTATTACCTTTAATATCAGGCTGGACTTCCCCTTTAAAGGTTAAGACCAGTTTTGGAAACGCCCCCCTCTCAAAAAATGAAATGGAAGCTTTTATTACCAATCATGTGAAAGAATATGTTTTGACTAATACGTGATGATACAAATTTTGCCGGGAAACCGCCTACTTAATGACATATTTGGTAAATTATTATATCTAACTGGACTGGACTGGATAGGGTAGTCCCATATACATCTTTCTGTGTGCAGTGCTTGTAACTTTACCAAGACTGGGCCAAATTTCTTATCATTTTGATGATTCCAGAACCTTGCAGTACACACCAATACTTATATGCTAGATGATCAACCTTTTCTGATCGATTCCACAACGTTTCTTTCACAATGCAATCGCATGACCAGAACTGGTCTATACCTTTAAGTAATTTGGATGCTGGTATTTTTTTTCACTGTGAAGTTCTTTTGATTTTGTAACAATCTTCATTTTGGTAAATTCCTAGAAATCAAGATCACCTTCAAAATTACTTTTCCTGTTAAGGCTTCTTCAATCATGAAATTTGGAAGTGATGAGCATTAATTAATTTATCGTACATAATAATTGTGAAGTGGTTTCATGAAAAGTGGAAAAACCTGTTGATGCTGATAAAGCAGCTGATTTGGGGATGCCAAGTGTAACAGTCATGATTTTGTTAGAAAATAAATATTTTTGAAATAAAATCACTAAGAGTGAGATCATTTGCAATCATGGATGAATCAGCCCTCAAATTTATTTCCAATACCAGTTGTATATCAACTGGCCAGGTAGATTTTTATGCCTCCGCCACCGAAGGTGGTGCCGGAGGCATCATGTTTTCGGGTTGTCCGTCCGTACGTCCGTCCGTCCGTCCGTCCGTACGTCCGTCCGTCCGTACGTCCGTCCGTACGTCCGTCCCGTTTGACCGTTATCACAATATCTCAAGAACCATTTAAGATTTAAACTTAAGACTCGGGAATAGTATTTATCACCATAGGAAGATGATCTGATTAGATTTTGGAGTACGTAGGTCAAAGGTCACAGGTCACAGAGGTCAACTTATGAAATTCCTTGTATTGAGTTTGTTAGCGCGATATCTCAAGAACCATTTGAGATTTAAACTTCAAACTTAAGGATAGTATGTATCACTATAGGAAGACGATCTGATTAGATTTTGGAGCACGTATGTCAAAGGTCAAGGGTCACAGAGGTCAACTTATGAAATTCCATACATTGAGATTGTTATCATGATATCTCAAGAACCACTGGAGATTTAAACTTCAAACTTAGTGATAGTGTGTATCACTATAGGAAAACAATCTGATTAGATTTTGGAGCACGTAGGTCAAAGGTCAAGGGTCACAGAGGTCAACTTATGAAATTCCATACATTGAGATTGTTATGATATCTCAAGAACCACTGGAGATGTAAAAACTTCAAACTTAATGATAGTGTGTATCACCATAGGAAGACAATCTGATTAGATTTTGGAGCACGTAGGTCAAAGGTCAAAGGCCACAGCGCACATTATGAATGCAAAAACAGCTTGTGATCGCGTTATCTCAAGAACCGATTGATGGATTCATGCCAAAATTAGGTCATGTTTGTTACTTGCAGAGCCAATGAACTGAGTAGATTCTTGGTTCATAAGGTCAAAGGTCAAAGGTCATGGGCCCATTATGTATGCAAAAATAGCTTGTGAACGCATTCTCATTAGAACTGACAGATGGATTACTATTTAACTCAGAACATCTTGCAGAGCCAATGAACTGAGTAGATTTTATGGTCATGAGGTCAAAGATCAAAGGGTCATATATGTATATGAGAAATTGCTTGTAATCACAATATTCTGAGAACCTGTCAATGGATTACCATTGAACGTGAATTCAATTTTTTTTTTCTGTTTTGGTTTGTAAAATTGCTCTATAACGGAGGCATCATTTTCGACTGCGCGCAGTCGAATTCCATCTAGTTCACTACAGAATCATAGGCTACATGTATGTGTGTTTTTATACATTTGTTATATTTTATACCCACATAAAAAATGATAATGTCTGACCTGCCCTTAAAAAACAAAACCCCTAAGTTAGTTGCCAGTTCCTGTACCGGTATTTGAAATGGATTTCTTTCCTATGTACTTGTACTATTGCATTTATAATGGTAGTCAGCAACAAATGTGTGCGAGCGTTTAACGATTTAGTTCTGGTCAAACAACAAAGTTAATATTCAAATATCACTGTGAGAAAATCACATTTACAATGCCAAATCCTAAAAGTGCTCCTGCATACAGAAAGGTATACTAATTCATACAAATCCATTTTTGAGCTACAAAAGAGCTACGGTTCCTTTCAAGGTAACTATGTCCCATTTGCAGGCCCCTAAAAGCTTCACTTAAAAAGAAAGGGATGGAAAATGTCTCTGCGTGGGTAAATAATGACCATTAGTTATCAAATTGATTATAGTGATTGCAATCCATTTGGTAATAGTCTGATTTTCAGACCCTTGTTCGTACCGAATGGTCGTACGTTTTGTGCTGCGCAGACTCAGAGACTCAATCACTTTAATTTTGGCCATTACAAGAATTGGGTTATTGAACAAATGCTCATGTACCCTTTACAGCTCATTTTATGTATACATTGTATTACCAAAGAAAAAAAAAGAAGGCAGTCAGTCTCTCAATAGTGTCTGACAGTGAAGTCTAGAAAGTAAAGGGTTTTCTTGTATATTTTGAATATTAGGACACTGTTATTGTTGAAATTTCACAGATGGGACATATGTGACATATTCTTAATTCCTGCAAAGTTCTCCAGAATTTGATGTTGGCTGCAAATGGGACATACATGTACAGTTTAGTACCATTAAAGTCATCCTATACAGGAAAAAACAAATCGAGAGTGGAGTCATACTGTGTATGTACATTGTAAAGGAGAAGCCTGTAGGAACGTGGGATGTTTGGAAATACTGAAATTATCAACATTTAATTTTTAATGATTTCATGTACCACTTGTGCCAACAAATGTAGATTTATCATGTACACCGTATTGTATGGCTTTCTGCCTGGCTTTAGTAGGTGTGAAGAGGATGGGTCAACATTAAAGCAATGAAAGTGTTGATTACATGTACGTTGCATTCAGACATCATGTGGTGACTCATCATTGCTTGGTGATGAGAGATCTTTAAAACATGAGATTTGACTCATAACCAGGCAGGGACTTTGTCTAGATCGAGCTATCCAGTCCCAAATGCTATACTGGTCAGTGTACATCCATCATACACTTGGAAAGATGTCAGTCTTTGTATCGGTGTACCGTAAATCTCCGCGTATAAGGCGCACTTTTGTGCCACCGAAAAAAATTGAAAGTCGGGGGGGGGGGGGGTGCGTCTTATACACGGAGATTTACGGTACATTGCACAGTGTATGTTCAGTCATCATATTCAATCTTCCTGGCATGTTTTACATTACATTTAATTTATTAGTGAGTGTTCATCTTTGCACCGACTATTTGTCTGACTCTATGAGTATTGGTGGAAAGTTAGAAAATGTGCACTACAGTGTACGACTACCAGCACGAAAATTGACAGATAAATAAACTCGGAAGTACTGATGTTTTGTCATACAGGTATAGATCTGTAAATACATTTTTCTTTGTAAAGGTATGGTTACATGTATATGTTTGTTCAGTGTTTCATGTGTACATGTACAGTGTATATGTACAATTTGTACACTGTTGTGTACGCATTAATCTGGATTACAGGTCAAAGATCCATTGCTATCCAGTATGAATTACTTGCAAAGCATATATATTTGGGCCATGTATGTTTCAGAGATTATTTCAGTAGATAATGTACACTGTGTTCAGATCATCATTAGATAACAACAAAAAACAAAAAAGGAAATGGAATTGAAAGCTGCACAGGGACATGTATTTATCATATGAAATGTGTTTCGATGCTATCAAATGACATCAAATCGACTCCACATTTTAATATGAACTCACTCTAATTTTTGCATAAATCAATTTCATTTTCATTCTATAAGTTTAAATTATACTAAATGACATACACGCCCCTTTTACTACCATGTAAACTCATATTTTTTTTATTTTTTTAATTTTATTGTTGTTGTTATTGCTGCATACATTACATGTATATGTATTGCATTCTTCATCTCGTTCATTTTGTTTCTGTCTTCTCTCATTGATTATTCTCTTCAGAGCATTGACGTGTCTAAGTGATCGAGGGCAGGGGTCCTTTGAGATGCTATAAATAGCAGAGGATCAACCGTGCAAACAGAACTCGCTCTTATCTCATCGATCGACCATGGCAAAAGCAAGTAAAATTCCAGGTAATTACATCCATAGTTTGTATTTTAATTTGGTATATTGTGAACATATTGTATGCCTACCAGGGTACGCTAATGTACTTTAATTTGATGACCATTCATTAATTTTTAATTTATGATACTTTTGTTTCATTCATTTATTCATTCAATCATCCATTCATCCATTCATTTATTCAATCAATCAATCATTCATTCATTCATTTATCCATTCATTCATCCATTCATGCATTCATTCATTCATTCATGCATTCATTCATTCATCCATTCATGCATTCATTCATTTATCCATTCATTTATTCATTCATTTATTCATTCATTTATCCATTCATTCATCCATTCATTTATGCATTCATTCATCCATTGATCCGTTCATTCATTCAATCATACATTCATTCATTTATTCATTCATCCATTCATCCGTTTATTCAATCATACATTCATTCATTCATCCATTCATCCGTTCATTCAATCATACATTCATTCATTCATTCATTCATTCGTATCATTCTTAGTCTACTATACACAGAACTGTAATATCCCTCTCACAATCTACACAATAAATCTGGTGCTAGCAACCATAGCCAGTGAGTATACAGTAGGTAAAATTACATTAAACACAATTATACAGATGTATTTTTCTAAACCTGATTTTGTTTTTTCCTCTTAAAGATAAAGACCAGTTATGGTCATGCCATTGCATTGTTAACGAAACGTTGTGGAATCGATCGGAAAAGGTTGATCATCTAGTATATAAGTATTGGTGTGTACATGTACTGCAAGGTTCTGGAATCATCAAAATGAGAAGGAATTTGGCCCAGTCTTCATAAAGTTACAAGCACTTACACAGAAAGATGTATATGGGACTACACACACGTGCGCGGCACATGCGTTTATCCCTCACAGTCCAATAGATAAACTAATTTACCAAATATATCAATTAGTAGGCGGTTTCCCGGCAAAATTTTTATCATCATGTATTAGTCAAAACATATTCTCTTACATGATTGGTACTAAAGAGCTTCCATTTAATTTTTTGAAATTGGGGCGTTTCCAATACTGGTCTTTACCTTTAAAAAAATAAATTAGTGCAGTGCATCTTTACACTCCATTACATACTGTACAGGTACATTTAGCACATATATTGTCCATTTATTAAACTACAAAATCCCCCCTGTATAATTTACACACTTAGAGCTGGTACAATTTTTGCATTCAAAGCATGTATGAAGTGCTCGCCACCACAGCCACTGAATATTTGATGTCCTTTGGGGGATCAGAGAGTCGTGTGCTTGCATTTTAATCAAGTCTTACAGAATCTTGTTCCATTGTGTGAGGTTTCTCTCTAGAGAGAGAGAGACAAATCTCTGCATAATACTGTACATTTATCTATTCTTCTCAGTAATTACGTTATTAGTATCCATCATCAGAGAGTCAGGAAAAGCCTGTCTTCATTAGCTTGAGTTTGCCTTAACCCGCTATTTTAATTATCCCGATCGCAAATTATCCAGCTAATTTACGTCGTCAGCAGCCCGCAGTTGCAATTAACCGGATATTTGGTCAAGAAAATATCCCTAGAAGTCTTGGTCTTGTTTCCTAAATATCCCGCCATTTTGGGAAAAAGTAGGCTTATTTGCGCCCGTCCGAGCTAGTGATGATCGTATCCGTCTGGTGAAGACGGGATAATAGGGACTTTTAGATTTGCACGTCCACATAGTGGACTGCTACATGTGATGTCCTTTTAAGGCACTGGCAGTGCCTTAAAAGGACATCACAGTGCCTCAAAAGGACGTGAAACGTGCATGTAGCAGTCCACTATGTCGACGTGCAAATCTAAAAGTCCCTAATATCCCGAATCTGAAAATAGCAGGTTATTTGGCAAACTCGAGCTGATGAAGATGGACCTATAGATGCCTATAAAATAGGTACAGTGTACATGTACACGTAGGCCCCATAACACCGAAGGTTTGCAATCGATTACAAATCCCAATTGCAAATTTTAAATAACGATTTAGATTGGTTGATAGTCCACCTTATTAACAATATGTGCATGCAACTATGATCTTGATTGTTAATAACCATTTTGCAATTGATTGCAAACTTTTGTGTTACGGGGCCCAGGTACATGTACTGTATGTGGAATGCAATGGAAATATTTTTCTTAATGACATGAAGCTTTTTAAATGACAAAATATTGAGATTTTACTTGTATAAGTACCATAAGCCGGGGTAATAATCGGGAGCGCCAGGAGTGTCAAGTCTGACAGACATGAGCGCTATACAAGAACCCAATATTGTTATTATTATTATTATTATTATTATATTACTGTTGAGATTCAGAAATGACAACAGCTAGGGAGTCCAACGTAAACTTTAGTCTTGCATTTATTCACCAAAGAAAACACAGCCCCGGCCAATACTATAACGACGAAGCAACACTAACGCTATATGCTGTCGTCCGACCCCTGATCATAAACAAAGCTTCCACCTTATTGTAGAAAGTGTAGTTCATCAAATAAGGAGATTTCACCACATGCAGCCATGAATTGTGATCTGCCAGAAGTAAATAACAATCTCCATTAGCAGGCACAAATTAGTGCTTCTCTCCTCTCTCTCCAATCTACAATGTCTCTCTGTCCCTGCTATAGCAGCTCTGGGTGCACAGACCCCGAACAAAAGAAAATCACTCATCCACTAAAACTTACAATAGGATCCCCAATCATGCCTATAGGGTATCAGTACATTGGGCAATACAGGTACCCCAAAAAAGGCGGGAAAGTAAGGCTATTGTCTGATGAGGAAGGGGGGGGGGGGTAGCTTACATTGTAGACTGCTCCACCTACAATTCCTTATACACTAATGCACCAATACACTATAATACATTATGGCATAATTACCTCAACATTCCATATTACAACATATTCCCCGCAATTAATGTCATAATGTTTGATAAAAATGATACATTATTACGAGCGAAATTCCAAATCGTCACCTTTCCCCGCAATTAATGTCATACTGTTTGACCGAGATTTTAGCGATACATGAAAATATAAGCAATGAAAATCTTTCTATAATACACTTCCCCGCAATTAATGTCATAATGTTTGACCAAAATGTTTTTCAGTAGTATATGAAAATACAAAACAATGTTCTTTAAAACATTATGCATAGCATTAATAACACATCACATCTTAATCTGACAAGTAAATATTTAATTCTTGTCTTCAAATTCAAAACTCTCTTCTTTTTTTTTACTCTTGTAACGCCGATATTGGAAGCCGCAGTGGATTTCTATGCTGGCCTTTAGTTACTCGATTAGACCTCCTACGCGGTACCTCGGGACTGGGGTTCTCAAGTTGAGAGTTGTCTATCTCATCAGGTACTATATCTCCGCTCAGATTGAGAACGTCATCCGTACCATTTTCTTCATTCTCAACATTTGCTCCGTCGTGGTCATTTCCCTCATCTGGAATATATTCATCGTCACGAATGTCTACTCGCAGGTTGTTCTGATCCCCTGGAATATTCATCGGTCGATCCCACAAGAAAGTGAAAGAGGGGGTGTTCTCTTCTATAGAACGAGTCGAGGGGTGTTGTGACGTGGTATGGTCACTTCTGCTTTCCTGAACAATATGAACTGGCATCTCTTCACGTGGGTCTGGAATCAGCAACCTTCTGTTCACTACTTTGGTTGGTCCTCCTAACATTGGTCGAATTTTGTAAACGTCACCCGTGTCATTTACCGCCGTGATTATGAAGGGATCTCTCAACACTTTGTCGTCAAGCTTGTGTCGACCCTCAAACGCGCACTTCTTGATCAGTACCCGGGTGCCAATGCTTAGTGTGGAACTCATTGGTAGAGCATCATGTCTGATCTTTTCACTTCTCAAGATCGCTTCCATGTTTTGCTTAGCAACCGTATGAGCATGTTGTAGCGACTTCGAATGCTCTGTAAGAAAGTCCTCATTCCAGTCTGCTTCGCTATTCCCAATTAGCTGGTCGATTGGTGTGTGCGGCTCTCTCCCATACAGGAGACGGTATGGCGATAGCCCTGTTGTTCCATGAGGGGTGCAGTTGTATAGGAAAACCAGCTGGTGGATCAGCCCAGGCCACTTTCTCCGACGATCTGGCTCAAGGGAACGAATCATGCTGCATAACGTTCGGTTGAACCTTTCCGTTTGTCCATTTCGTTTGTACAGTTTGCATAATTCTCGGACAAGAGAGCTCTCGAAATTTCGTCCTTGATCGGAGTGGATACGTAGTGGAGCACCGTAGTGGACTATCCAACCATCGATTAAGGCACGTGCAACAACTGCTGCAGTCTGGTTCTTGCAGGGGATTGCTCGTGCAAACTTGGTGAATGCATCAGTGATTACCAAGACATCCTCGTATCCACCTTGACCCTTATCCAATTTCAGAAAATCGATTGCGATCAGTTCTAGGGGCTTGAATGCCAGCAAGTGTCGTCTTGGAGTTCGTATTGTCGGTGTTGGCGTCTTAGCTGCAATGCAGGCAAAGCACTTCTTGATGTGTGCTCTCACATCATTACACATTCCTGGCCAGAAACATCTTTCTCGCAGGATTGCTATGGTTCTGTTTATCCCTTGATGGCCCCATTGGTCATGAGCCATCTGTAGCATCTTCTCTTGGAGGCCTTTGGGAACTAACAACTGTCTTCTCTGTGGATGTTTGGAATCTGGTGGTCGTCTGTACAATACCCCTCCACAGTCTTTGAGGTACATGCGTTCTTTTATCCAGGACTTTGTCTCTCTGTTCTCGCTTTTCATTTCATCCTCTGGCTTCCATCCATCTCTTATGTATTGTCTGCAAGCTGACAGTGCATCATCTTGCTGCTGCAGAATCTCAAGTTTCTCTGTGGAATATGATGGGTATACTTCAGGAGCTGCCCGAGGTGCTTCTTCTGGCCCCTGATCACTGTTTACTGTAACTTCCACTGGTAAGACAGTAGTTACTGTCAGAGCACCGATCATCTCTCTCACCTCTTG